TAATCCAACAAATATATGAAATATTACAATACACACAAACAACCATCCTTATATCCCTCCATTAACCTCGAGCGTAGCCCTCAGCCTAGTACTCGCTACTAATTACCCGGCCAAAGGTAGATTAACCCGAGTCCTTACAAACCACCTATTGAGCTCCAATAGGGGCTTACCACGTGGCACATAAATATAACAACAATACAAGTCTCCCAACACCTCCCACAATAATCAAATAAATTCATATAATATTGCACAATTATATAATATTACAAATTTATAATTTTCTCAATAATCACCCAATTAACATGAAGTAATACAAATCACAAATTAAAAGCATGGTTACTTGTGGCTTTTTCAATAAATTATTCCTTAAAATTTCTCTCTCACCACAATCTTCACCAGTAATACAATCTACAAATAACATATTATTTATAAATATTAGTTTCAATTTTTGAAACTAATAAAATAATTCTAATAATAGAATAAAAATATAACATAATTCTTAATCTCAATCTTAATACAAATCTATAGTTAATACTATTAAGTATAATTTTAACTCCTCTTTAATTATCAATAAACATTAATAATCTAAAAATCAACTTCTAAACTAATTTTTATTATCAAAATTTTCTTTTTATTCATAAATCGTACCTAAAATACCCAAAAAATTAAAATTAAATCTCTAGCTTAGAATCATAATCCTATAGCCATAATAATTCATTTCTCATCCTAAATAATCATGTAAACCTCAATAAATCACATACATTTTCAGATCTAGTCTAGAATTTGATCCATAGCCATAAAAGTCAAAGATCATTAACAAATTTATACTCTATAACATTTATTATACTACTGACAACCTCAAAAACCATATTTATTCAACATAAATTCATCCCCTCTTCCAGATCTTAAATTTTCTACCACTACAAACTCAAAACTAAAGAAGAAGGATGACTAAGAAAAATTTTTAGAACACTTACTTAGTCTAAAAAGCTTAAAATCACACCCTAAATATCCTATTAAAAACTCTTACCTTAAAAATTTAGATATTTCGCACCGGTGACTCGCGTTCTCTCCGCCTCAGCGCGCGCGCAGGAATGATGAGGAAATGAAGGAAGGTGAGTTTTTTAAAAAATTCAGTGGGTCCCAACATTTTTTTAATTATTTTCTCTCTCTCTTTCTTCTCTTTTTATTATTATTTTATTATTGTTATATGTTGAGGGCGGCGGACGAAGCAATGCGTTTCTTCTTCTTCTTCCTTTTTTCTTTTTATATATAATAATAATAAGTTAATAATTTATTATTTTTTTATTTTTTTATTATTATTATTATTATTTTTATTATTTTTTTTTTTTTTTATTTTTATTTATTTTTTTTCATACCTTTTTTTTTATAATAATAATTTAATAATACTTTTCAAATTTTTATTAACCCAAATTAACTATTAAAATTTAAATTGGGATGTTACAAAAATAATTCACATAAATACAATATACATAACATTTGAATTATATTCATTATAAGTATTAAATATAACAAACTCTTAAAATAATTCATGACATTTATAATCTAATATTTATAACATTTTCAAAAATGATTGGTTGTGATAATAATTTCATATTTTAAATGGTCATATGTCATTGAATTGTATGCTATTAAAATCCATGTTTGAAAATACATGTGAAACTAACTTACATAAGAAATGATTAATTGGGTCAACCTTAATTGAATTAGTAAATTATTAAATTAATTGATTTGTAGAAAACTTCAATAAATGTTTAGCTTGAAGTTCTATATAAATTCCTCACATAAAGCACTCATTTTGAGCCTAACGTCACAAGGTAATCATGCTTTTATTAAAAAGCTAACTCATTCGCTCACATATACAAGACCTTCCTAAGTCTCTCTGACCAATTTGTGATGTGCCTCTCACAAGTGGTCTATTGGAACGGCTCACTGAGTTGGCAAACTTGGGTTTGACTATAATGTCATTTTGTTATGGAGCCATTACAATCTTTTAAAAAGCTAATTTAGTGGGGTACACAGCATACCTGCTTATATACCCAAGAGTCTTCCCAAATTCCTTCGAAGTGGGCCGTAAACACTAAGGTAAGATCAAAATATCACAAAAACCATAAGAATAACATACGCACGCACATGTTGTTGTATGGACAATAATTGCTCAATCTATAACAGCTTAGGGAAGATCTTAAGATTTTGCATGCATGATAGTTTAGTTGTTTTGTTGACTTTATAGGTCTTATTTCTCCTTTGTATACTTGTACACTATTTACCAATGAAATTTTCACTTCATCTTATCTTTTCTTACTACTTTGTAAAGTATATTATTTTATTTCTCATCTACAATTTTTTTTTTTCTTGATAAAAAGGCAAATATATTAACAAAAAGAAAACAAAGTCTACAAAGTAAGTGTTAAAATAGGTAGTTTAAAATAACAAGAAAGTAAGAAAGTAAAAAAAAAAAAGCAAAACATCGGGATCACATTTTTGAAGAGTATAAGCATTAAAGTCTTGCAAGAGTTTTAAGATATCCTAGTCTATGAGATGCTGTCCATTAGAGCAGAGGCAAACCCTTTTATTATGTATAATTTTTAAATTTCTAACCTCACTGATCTTCACAAATGTTTTCAAAGATAAATTTTTAATCCAAATTGAATACTATTAAATATAAAAAGGTAATAAGAGTTGTAGGGAGATAGCTTTCATATCTAAAAAATGCTCATTTACATTTGAATGAATAATAAAAATGATACTTTTATTTATTTTTTAAAATATTTACATATAGAAAAGACATGTGGAGCCCGTTGTAAGAAGATAGGCACAAGTTTTATAGTAAAAAAAAAAATAATAGTAAATAAGAGATCCATCATAAAAAAAATGATAGGTACAATATGCACAAGGCCTTTTATTCGTTGCTTTGAAATAGCAGTGAATATGAGATTTATTTTATTGCTTGTATTTTGTGTGTATGTATAATATAATAGATTATAAAATAAATTGCAAAGTTAATAACAAATCATAAAGTAGTGCATGATTTATTATGGTACATGTTTCATTTTTCTTACAATGATACATGAGAAAAATTATGAAAGAACATAAGACAAAGGAAAATCTCACTTATGGCTACGATAATACAAAAATTTTACATTTAAGGCTCAATACAATTTGAAAACTCTCTACGGGCTTGAGAGCATTAAGCGGAAATATGTTTTTAACAAAAAAAAGATACTTTTGCCCTTGGATATTTTGTTTTTAATGTGTAAGATATTGTGTTAAGAAGTTATGAATATTATATTGTGCATTCATGAATATTCTATTGTTCTTTCACTCTGTGTAACTTGTACATTTCAAGTCAAAACATTTTCACTAGATCAATTGTACATTATATGATATTGTGTTGAGATTTTATGAATAATTATGTTGTGCATTTATGGATATTTATTGCTCTTCATCCAACGCAATTTGAACATTTCAAATTAAACTATTTTTACGAAATTAATTGTACATCACAAAATGTTGTATTGAGATTTATGAATATATGTTGTGCATTTATAGAAAAAGGGAGGGCAAATGTGTTTATTTTGGTTTTAAAATATATTTCTACTCATGACCCTTAAGCTTGCAAAGAGGTTTTAGATTGTGTTGAACCCTAAAATATACTTATGCACTCGAGAGTCCTAGTTAAGGTTCTCTTATAAGATATTACAATTTAGCTTACATGAGATAAGAATTTTTAAAAATAATAAAATTTTTTAATAGGAAAAGAATAACAAACTGCAAAATAAACGTGTAGGCTTAAAAAAGAATAACAAACTGCAAAATAAACGTGTATGCTTAAATTTTAATTTATATGGGGGGAAATGAATGATGGTTCCAAGAATATTTATTGTCGGCTAAATTTTTTCTTTAATTAATTACAAAGGATAAAAATTTAATAGAAATTTATTTTCTGAACACGATTTTAAAATTTTTCCTAATGTTAATAAAAAAAACAACACAAGTATAGATATCACTAAGCATCCTTAAGACAACACATTCTAATAAAAAGATTTTATTATTTATATTTTTAGATAGACCCAATACACCATGTATTTATAGTCTATTCAAAAAACATAAAATTTAGATAATATTAAATATAAATTAATTATAATAGTAATAATAAATAATAAATAAAATAGAAAAAATTAAATAGGCATTCTATTATGAAAATAAATCATTAAAAATAATAACACAAACAATTTATTTGATTAAATTTGTTTAATTTTTTTTGAATGAATGAATCATGAATAATATAGTGTTTCAGGTTTACTTAAGAATTTCTTAATGTTTGATATACATGGACAGAATAAATTTTAAAATATACTAAATAATTATTTAAATTTTAATTATAAAAAGTATTAAAGAGAAAATACAGCTTTTCGTCCCATATTTTGCTCGAATTTTGCTTTTAGTCCTTTTTTTTTTTCATGTTTTAAGTCTTTTACATTTTATTTTCATTGTTTTTTATCTTTTCAGGTTTTTACGCTTTATTCATAGAGTGATTGAAAATAATAAAAATAAAAATATAAGGATTAAAACATAAAAAAAGTACATAAATTAAAAGCAAAACTCAAATAAAGACTAAAAGTTACTTACTTTGTTAAAAAATATAAGATATTTTTTGAGAAGTTGAATGTTAAAAAATATAAGGCATTTTTAATCTTTTAAAGTGTAATTATTATCTTTTTTAAAAAATACATCTATTAACGAATCACTTTATATTTATTATAAGGTATTAATAAAAATAATATAAAAAAATGATTAATTTAAAAATAAATATTATTTTATTAAGAATAAATTTAATTAAAAATATTTTATATTTTTAAATGAAAGGAGTATATTTTTTAATAATAAATTATAAGTATATGTCAATAAATTATCTTATAAAACATCCCTGTACTTGAACCACAGTGCTATAAAACATTAAATTCTGGATTCAGTCATTCACTGTCCCTGAAACTAGGGTTTTCTCTGCGCGGCTACCTATCCATTCGCCTCCCGCGCCAACATGGAGGAAGCTCCTGCATCAGCTGCACCATCATCGACATTCTGGAGCAACGTAGTGAAGAGCCAGCAACCTCCGAAGCCGCCTCAGGAGGATCCTCTACAGACTGGCCGAGTTTTCGTGGAGAGCTGCAAATCCTCTAATGGCATATCAGTGGCTGTTGTTGACGCCAGTGCCATTATTGCCGGAGGCGAAAGGCTGCACAACTGTGCCGACAAGTTCTTCTCCGTTCCAGAAGTCATGCAGGAGATCCGCGACCCTGTCTCGCGCCACAGGCTCTCATTTATCCCCTTTACTGTCGAAACCATGGAACCCACTCCAGAAGCCATTAACAAAGGTATATGCAATCATGTCTTAAATCATATGATCTGTGTGATTTTGTTACCTTAGTTTTGGGGCGAGATTGTCTTATTTGTAGAAAGAGCGATTCTTTGTACCTTAAGAAAATTAATCAGGGTATGTGAGCTCTGATCATTGCAGTTCGAGTCAGTGCGCATTGTAATAGAGGCAATGACGTTGACTTGAAGAGGGTGTTAGTTTAATACAAACAATTCGGCAATCCCGACTGACTATATTGGCTATTTCTAGTTAGTAATGTTATGACTCACTTCTTTGTGACAGTATTTGTCGTCCTCTAACTTCAACTCTCATGTACTGCTGGTACTTGACAGTTATCAAATTTGCAAAGGCTACTGGTGATCTTCAGACTCTATCAGACGTTGATCTCAAACTCATTGCTCTAACTTATACTTTAGAGGCTCAAATCCATGGAACAAAGCATCTCAGGGACATCCCGCCACCTGTCCAAGTGGTCAATGTTAGGAGGTTGCCTGAAAAAGACATGCCTGGATGGGGTTCCAATGTGCCGAATTTGGAAGAGTGGGAAGCATTAGAACATGAAACTGAGGACAAATCAAATTCCAATTCAAGAATACTTCCATTGCAAGACTTAAACCTGAACTTGGTTCCACAAGATAACCATTCTGAAGATGGTTTGAGTCGACAGATGAGTGAACCTCCTTCTGAAAATCTAGAGGGTAGTGAGTATGGCTCAAGGAAGCCTAGGAGACGCTTCCCTGAAAAAAAGGATATAAACATTGAAGGCAAGAAGATGGTTGCGGATGGAATTGATGCATCACAAGGACAGTGTGATGATAATGCTGGTGATTGGATGCCTGCTGTGAGTAGAAGTACTCATAGGAGATATCTGAGAAGAAAAGCTAGACGTGAGGCATTGTCTCTCAGTCAAGATCAACAAGATTTGGAAGAAAACATTGTTGACGGTGTTGCTATTGAGGATGGTAGAAGTTCAGATCAGCTTGTTCATCAAAGTGATGATGAAAAAAGTCAGATTGAAAATGTTGATTTTGAGGATAGCAAGTTGGTAGAAGAGAAGGAAGGAAGTGAAAACCTTCCAGGAAGTCTCAAGAAAATGAGTCTGAAAGAAGGTTCATTGGAAGTTATTGATGGAGAAAATGAACTTAGTGCATGTTCGGGTGAACCCCAGTCCAGCAGCTCCAGACCTCTGGAAACTGCTTCCAATGGTGATGCAACCATGGCCACTAAACTATGTGAACTAGATACAATTAACGATGAATCAAATAACTTTGAGGCTATAAGCCAGTCTAGCGAAGCCTGTGATTCTTCATATGCGGATGATGATAGTAGTGAGCAGAGTTGGATGCTTAGATCTTTGTGTGAGTCTAGCGTAGCTTGTGTGACTGGTGACTTTGCAATGCAAAATGTTCTTCTCCAGATGGGTTTGCGTTTGCTAGCACCTGGAGGAACACAGATCCGAGAGCTGCACAGATGGATACTCAAGTGTCATGCTTGCTACACTGTTACGGCTGAAATTGGGAGGATTTTTTGTCCTAAATGTGGCAATGGCGGCACCTTACGCAAGGTAGCTGTTACAGTTGATGAAAATGGAGTTGTTTTAGCTGCTCGTCGACCAAGAATTACCTTACGTGGCACCAAGTTTTCATTACCTTTACCCCAAGGTGGAAGGGATGCAGTCACAAAGAACCTCATTCTGCGCGAAGATCAGCTCCCTCAAAAGTTACTCTATCCTAAAACTAAAAAGAAAGCTAACAAACAGGACGATGATTTCTTCACTCCAGATAAAATCTTCAGCCACAACACAGATAAGAGGGCTCCTTTCCAGCCTCCTGTAAGGAAAGCATTGGCAGTTTTTAGTGGGAAGAGAAATCCTAATGATAATCACTATTCACGTTCTAAGCATAAGTAGTGGACGTGTGATTGAATTTTTTGTCTCTGCTTGTCTGATTTTTTTTTTTTTGTTAGTTGTCAAGAAAATTTCTGAAGCACCCTTGAAAGTGCTCTATTCACCCCCTCTTGTGTTGGACAAAGTAACCCTTCTGTTATGAAGGCGTATTTTTGGAAGCAGGACTGTTATATCTGAATCCTCTATCATCAATGATGCTTTTGGTCTGCATAATTATGTTCAAGGGCAATGCTTACTTTGGGTAACACGAGGGGGCGTTTTGGTTGTTGGACTGATTTTTATTATTGATTTTCAGTCCTAAAAAAATATTAAATTTAGAAGTAAGTCAATAAGAACTATGACAAGGTTTCTAGATCTTTCTTGAAACCTAAGACAATGCAAATGATGTCAACTAGGAGTGTTTAGTTGTAGATTGTTTTCAAAATTGGGTTGTCACCCTTACCACTGTTTCTAACATAAGTTTGATTTTGATAATGATATGCAATTTTATTTGTTCACACAACCAATTAGAGACATATTTGAACAATCAAGATATTATTTTTATCAATTTCATATATATGTTAAATTAGCTAGCAGTGATTATAATAACATACTGTGCATCAAACAGATGTATTACTAATGCCACTTTAAAAGAAAGTAAGGTTTAAAGCTTCAATCTTGTTTTGCCACGAGTCTCTTCATTAATGACAAATGCCACTATTAAAAATAATAAGAACAGCATGCCATGTGAAAATGAATAGAATTTTCACTAATGCAAGCATGCATGCATGTCACATTTGTGTGTTTAATCAATTGATATATCTTTAATACGATTGACATTTTCATTTGTCATGTTAATTTACAAATAAAGTAACCAAACATTATCATTAAACTTAAAAACTAATTGATTTCTTTTTATAGTTTAGAGATTGCATAAAAAGTGATTTCTTCTGTAAAAAATATATGAAAAAAAATATTATATTACATTTGGTTACAATTATAAAAACAAGAGTAAATATAACTTTTGATTCATGTATTTTATTTGTATTTTACTTTTGGTTACTATGTTTTTTTTTTCCAGTATTTTAGGTTCTTATATCTTTATTTTTTATTATTTTGAATCCTTATACTTTGTTTATAAAGAAACTGAAAATAGTGAAAAATAAAAGTATAGAAACTTAAAACATAAAAAAAAAAGTATAGGGACCAAATGAAAAACTTGAGTAAAATACAGAGATTGAAAATCATATTTACTCTAAAAAGTAATTATTTTTAGATTTTATAATATTTTTGGATATCTCTATTTATAAAAACAATATATGTTGTTTTTAAATTTTATTTATCTGTATAGTTTTGTGACTTTTTTTATTTTCCATATTAAATTATTTTTAAAAACTACCAAGGACTTGCTTGTTTAAATTTTTTTCATGAAAAAATCATAAAATCTTAAAATTTGATAAATCATGAAGAAAGCTTTTTATTCATTTTGCAATACCTTGATAGACGTTTAACATTAATTTTGGATTTACAACATAACTAATACAAAAATTAAAGTTGAGATAAAATCTTATCAAATTTTAAGTTCGCATTTAAATTTTAAAAATGCAATTAATTATAACAAATCAATATTAATTCAATGCCAATAATTTTTAAGTGAAGTCAATAATGATGATGATGAAATTGTTATTATTATATTGCTATGTTTTTATGATATGTATTAGATTTAATGAGTATGGCATTTTAAATTATTATACGTGATCGTATATGCTTTTTGTTTTTTTTTGGGCAAGTATAAAGGTAGACTCCGCTAGAGCAAAGGTTAAAGAATATTTCTCCAAAGGCAATGAGAATAATAGATAGACTTTTTTAAATTACATTGTTACATATATAAGAATTAAAATTTAAACTCTTAACTACATGCTTAGAGTATATATGCTTTTTGATTGCATTCAAATTGTAAAAGATCATAAATTTTTTTATAATTATGGGGAACATTGAACACATTTTAAAGATATTTTATTAAGAACGTTATGTGCATTATATGGGTATCACAATAGTTATTGTATAAATTTTAACTTCCACAAGAATAATTTCCTCATAAAGGAAAAGGAGAGTCAAATATTTTTATAACATGGCACGCACATGATGCACGTGAGGGGCATGTTCTTGGTGGCAAAATGCAATAGCATATGGCACTTTCCATTCAAGTCAATTGAACTTTCATTGAAATATTTATCCCTCTGAATTAAAATTTAACTTGTCAAAATTATTTGAGACATATTTGGTTGATCCCAACTAGGGCTTGAAGCCTAAATTGCTATCATTGGACTCGAATGAATATCTCAAATCCCCGAACTCAATTAAATTGTTAATATATTATAGAAATTGTCGATTTAATTCAATGATGACTAGAGATAATTGCATAACATATGGAAAGAATATCAAATCATAGCTTTACATTTTGTTATGCCTTATACTTGAATCCAATGATTCATATGATTGTAGAGAGATGATTAAAATACATCTTTATAAAGCTTCCCTTTAATATGTCATTTTATTTATTTGTTGTTAAATATGAATTTTCAACGGTTAATGAAATTACATGGCTATAATGTAAATGTTTGCGAGAATGACTCTTTGAAAAAAAAAAAAAGAAATAGAGATGAAAAAAAAAAAGTTGTGCACCAAGTTTTTAAGATGTGGACAACACTTTTCTCTAAGCTTAACTCACCCCCACATATTACAATATTTGGGTGTAAGTCTGATGATTTTTTTTAGAATTCAGTGAAGACTCTTAATTATGAAATACACTTCTAAGACTGAAGCCATTACAACAATAATTTTATAAAGTAATAATTTAACTTTATCTTTAGTATACTTAAAAACAAAGATAATGAGTTTTAATAGCTGAATGTTGATGTTTGAATATGATATCCAAAATGAGTGATATAGTGAGGGAGTATTTATATATAGATAATCAAGTGGTACCTTTGAAGTAACAAAATACTATTTAAAAGTCATAACTCTATATTGGGTCACGAATAATCTCATGTTGATTTGATAACTAATATTAACTAAGAGTTATTTATAATAACTTTTCATGAAAAATAAGATCCTTTTAATATATAGAGTTTTTTTGGAATATATTTTTTGCACCAAGTAATACTTTTTAATTTTATAACCTTTCAAATGTGTCTTTACAAATTAAAGAGACATAATCTTGAAGATTATAACTTTCTGCATAACCTTTCATAAAAATTCCTTAAATTATAAGAAAAAAAGATATTTTTTCTCCATTTTAAAAATATTCAATAATAAATACTCACTAGGCTAAGGTTTGAGCCATAAAATCTATAGTCAAAGTATTCCGTAAATCTTAATCTAAAATTCAAAAAACCTAAGTCCTTTAACATGATTTTTTGGTGCAAACTTACTAGTCATTATTAAGATACAATAAGACATTAAGGTAAAAAATAACCATCAATGTCAATATCTTCAATCTCAATAAGACATTGAGGTAAAAATAAGACTTTGTTGCTGTCTCTTGTTTAAATTTTAACAAATATCCATTAATTTTTTAAAAATTGAAGCATAATGTTTGATTTTCACAATTTTAATAAATGTCAGTTAATTTTTAAAAAATTGGAGTACAATAGGTGATTTTCACTAAATGATATTTGGTGAAAATCACACATTATGTCCCAGTTTGAAAGATAGATATTAAAATTTAATAATAAGAATAAAATTATTTTAATTTTAATTGTTTAAAGTTTAAAATATACTTTTTAAAAGTTTAGAGTTCAAATTACCTCTAGACCTATTATTTAATGTTTAAATTACATATGAATCCATTGTTTAATCAAAAATTTGTCTTCTATGCTTCACTCATTCTACGTCAACACCATAATCAAGGAAAATATGGGGTTTGTTTGAAATTATTTTTACTTTATTATTATGAGAATTGATGTTTTGTAGGACATATTTTGAAAACCAAAAAAATAATAAAAATATTTTTTTATTCTCTCATTTTTCCCAGAACAATAATTCTAGAACATGTTTTCATTTTTCTATTTTTAAAATAATATTTTTTATTCTTCAAAATACTTTTTAAAAACACATCATTAAATATATTTTTTATTTTAAAAAATAAAAAATTATTCTCAAAATAAATTGTTAAGTGGCTCATGAAAAATTTTATTGCAAACAATGGACACACCTAGAATTTTTAGACTAACCCAAACTGAAAAGAAAAGCAAAGTCAAAATCTTCAGGAAGAATCAAAATCTCCAGGGAAAATGATAATTAAGTTTAAAAAAAGAATTATGAAAATTAAATTTTAAAAAAGGAATTAATGATTGTTATACCTCAGTAAAATTTTATAAAAGTAAATTATCAAATATCAATTTAAATAACTATAAATTCAGGAATTTCAATTTTCAATTATAAATAAAATATTTAAATTCTAAATATAATAATTAATATGTTATTGAGTTTTTATTAAAAAAATTATAATTCAGATTTTATTTAGAATTGCTGAATCAACATTTAGTACTTATTTTTTAAAAAAATTATCAAAAACCTAATTATTATTATTATTTTTTGAATTTTACCTTTATTCTCCCAATTCTTTCTTCAATTACTAATAGTTACTTGAAATTAGAAAAAAGAAAAAGTGATTGGCATTGGATCACTCATCAATTAAAAGGTGATGCTTCCCATCAAAGTCTTTGAACTTTGATTTTGCCATACTTTTTTTTTTTTTTTTGTCTGGACTTGAAAGCCATCACGATAATCACAAAAAGCCACGATTCCTGCCTCAAAATTAATTGATAAATTAATTGATTTGATTTGCAGATTATCTTTACAAAGTTCTAGATATTATGCTTAGTCAAATTCCATTGACAAAAATACCCTTTGCTAGATCCATCGATATTTTTAATCCTGCTTCTGCAGACTGTACAGCCAAACATTCTGACATGTTATGGACCAATTTTAAAAAATAATAATTTGAAAGCAGGTTCTATTTTCAGCGCATTATATTGAAATATCATTCGTTTTTGTCAAGAAAATATACATCCATATTGTCTTATATAATATATAACACTAAGTAAATAACACGATTTACCATAACTTTCAATATTGATGATATATTGGTACATAAGTTGACTCAATTAAATGCATTTTTTTTGTAAATTAAAATAAATTTATGAAAACTATTAGGTTAGGTCTAACGA